CCAGTGATTCATGTATAATCCATGTAGCATTTTGGGGTCATCAAGGGACATTTTTTTTTCCTATGGGCTTACTATAGATAGATTTGACATCAATACTCAATTTACTTTTCTCAATGGAAGGGCCCATTCCATTGAGTGGAATGAAATTGTCACTGGAGTTGAAGCAAAGTTCTTTTTTCCTTGTGTTCTATAAGGGGTCCCAAGATATATCTTTTAGCAGATAGCAGTTCCCTCACTCTACAGGTTCTGAACTTCACAAAGCAAAGCTGAAAGAACATCATTCCAGTTTAAACTAACAAGGATAATAACACGAAAAGCAATTCCTTCTGTTCTGTTAATTTTCCATTATATTAGTTTTTATTTTCTGTTGAAAATCCTTAAAATTATTATTTTTTAAATCAACTATTTGGAACTTGTCTGTTAAAAGGTTATTCTACTCATTTGTGATCCTTGGTAATAATAGTATAATATATGGGCAGCAAGGAAGTATTTCTACTCAGAGAACAGTTTTTCCGCAGCATAAGGAATTTAACAGTTACTTAATCCTTATTCAAATGAAATTTATTTGGGGATCTACCAGTAAAAATAGTATTCATTTTCAGAATCTTTAGAGCTGCTATTAAAGAATTGTTAAAATGGTTGCTGCTGTTATCAAATTTAACATCTCTTTTTAAAAGATCCAAAATTAACATGTAGCTTTTTCTTCTAATTTGAAGGTTTCTGTTCATTTCAAACACTTAAAGAAAACATATGGAAATCAGCTGTTTGTATTTAGCAAACATTTTTATTACACATCCTACTCAAAATATTGAGTGTGCTAAAATCTTATGAAAAAAGCTTTGTTCTCATTCAATAAAAGAAACACAAAGGGGAACCTCTTCCCACTTTGTCATCTATGTCACAACTTAAATCCCAGCTGTTGCCTTTAACTGTGCAAGACAGCAAGACAGCACATTTTGTAGATTAAACCAATAAACTTTCAAACATAAAAGAAGCAAATTTCATAATTGTGGATTTCAATTAAAGGAAGAGGATCAAAGCAAACATTCTGCTTGAAATTGCACAGCTGCTGTCTACACCAAACTAAAAAGAACATTTGCGGCTGGAAAAGAAAGAGAAAGAAAAAGCTGAAAAGCCTGCAGTGACTCAAATTGGGAATGCACCTCACGTTCAATCAGTAATACAGAAATAATGAGTAATAAATCCCCTACCTCTCCTGTTCCCAACATCTGTGAAAGACAATTTGTAACAGCCTCAGTGTTAACACTGTATAACACTCAGAAATTTGGTGACAAACAGGAACTATGTTTAGAAACAAAGGCTCAACCATGGTTAGCAGGAAAAGTGAAGCAAGCTTTCTTTTAGTTGGAAGATTTTCAAGCAAGCAAACGAGCTTGTTTAATTTGCAGGGGGCTTCCCCCTCACCCATCGCTCACACATGTGTGCACACACTCTGTTTTTCAAACCTGAGCGGCATTCTGGAGATTTCACACCGTTGGCTACGTCTGTGGGCTATGGGTGTAGGCCTCATCCAAATGTGTTGAATTATTATTGATGGCTGAGGCAGTTCTGCTCTGCTAGTGAACCAATAATGTCAAGGCAGTACCTGCAAGATTAATTATAGGAGAGACTAGGCTGCAGTTTCCAGGGACTGAGACATTAATAGAGACTGAGCATTAGTTTCAGCGGTTCAAGAGGGAGCGGAACAAACGCCTCAGACAATGTTATACATGCGAAAATCTGACACTTACTGCTGAACAGCAATGAAAACTTTAGGACAATGTTGTTTCACTTGGAAGTGCAAAGCCTTACAAAACGGGAACAACAAAAGGGAAACAACAAAAAGAAAGATGGCAAGGCAGCCTACCTGTTTTGAATTGCAACAGGCTAAAGAAAGAGATGGGAAATGGTTCCCTCTTGTATATGGAGTGCAGACAGAGGGAGGGACTGGGACCCACTTTCCTGGATTTATTAATATAACTACAAATCTGGCTGGAGTGCTTTCTTTGTGAATTGCCCTACCTTTGTAAACAATGGCGTCTGAAAAGCAATACTAAACATGAGGCTGGAAATCACATTAGGACTTGAAAGGATTTGAGGCAGTTTTGTTACACTATTACCTGACTTCTGCTGCAGTGGAAATTTATATTCCACAAAGAGTTTAGCTATAGAAAACTGAAGTGATGCAGTGGATGGAATTGCAGCCATAGCAACAGCAGCTTACAGTTCAGCCTCACACTATGAAATATAGGCACCACAATTCCCACGTTGACATCACACTTAAAACCAGATGCAGTGATATAAAGACACGTTGAATGCTGTTGCTTGTTGTACATTTTACCCAACATAATATTGAAGACCCTGAATTTAAATTTTGTTAGCCATCTTGTACTTAACAATATATCAAGTTTCTGTAAAAATAAGAATAAATTATTTTGTATGCTTTCTTTTTGCCTTTCAACATGGCTGCTTATGAAGCAAGCTCAGTTACACTCTGTGTAGTTGAATGCTCAATGTCTGATTTTCCTTTTAGATATTTTTAAAGAAGGTTTTGCAAAGCATTTTCCCTCCAATCTGAGTGAGGATAGGATAGCTTGAGGACAGATCCCAGGAAGTTTTCCATACGGTTCTGCTCTGCCATTATTAAGTAGACTTGGCTGCTATATACATTTCCATGACAAACCTCTTTGTTGTGGGGATGGGGTGTGTGTGTATCTCTGTGTTGTGCAACACTATCCAGGTAAAGAAGTAATCCCAAATCAGCTCACATAACCAAAAGCAATGTTTGTATCATACACAAGGAGACAGCTTCAGTTTCAATGATTCACATTCAGGATGCTGAAATATACAACATTAACTTCTACTGGAACTCACACATTTTTATGATATTGGTGACAGGATTCCCTACACACATATACATCCTTCCTTTACCACTTTCTGAGTCAGGAATTTCCTTTCCTTTTAGCCAAAGTGCAGAGACTGGCATTTCTTTTGCATAGCAGAATAGTTCACTGCTTCCACTATGCCTGTAGAACAGATTGGATTCAGTGCTTCCTGTTCTGTTTCGTTGTATCTCAATTCATTTCAACATTTGTGAGTCAATGTTGTTTTGATCTATTCGCAGTTCTATTTATATTCATTGAGAAGTTCTACTTTGCTCAACAGGAATAGTTCAGGTTGTATTGTGGCTTCCCTTCAGGTATTTTGCTGCCTGAGGCCAAGCAAAACTGGAATCTTAGGCAGCCATCAAGGTGTATAGTTCACGGAAAGTCAAACTATTCTACCACTGAGGAAGAATATCCAGCAAGTGCCTCTCTCTATCCCTGGTAGTAAGAATGCAAAAATAGAAAATCCAATAAAGAACAAGTTGTGGCCTTTTCTTAACATCCAAGATTTGTTTTTTGAGGCACTCTCCTCATTCTTCTTAAAAGTAACCAGCCCTATCTATAGTCTGCATGATCTGCACTCAATACAGGTAGTCCTCAATTTGCAACCATAATAGAGACAAGGATTTCCATTGCTAAGCAAGGCAGTTATTAAATGAGTTGTGCCTGATTTTTTTTTACTCGTTGATTAATTTTCTGCACTGCCAATCTCTCTAATGCAATGACTGCAGATGGCTTTTTATGACCTTCTTACTGTGGTTGATAAGCAAATCATTGCAGTGAACTGAATCACTCAGTTGTTAAGTAAATCCAACTTCCCCCAATGTCTTTTCTTGTTGGAAGCTGGTTGGAAAGATCACAAATGGCGATCATGTGACCTCTGCATGCTGCAACCATAGTAAACGCATGACCTTTGCTGAGCATTTACATTTTGATCATGTGACCTGGGGACATAGTAATGGTGGTTAAGTATGAGAATTCAATGGTTTTGCCAAAACAGTATGTAGGGCAGAATCCATGGTTTTACTCAAAGAGTAAGAAGCAGAACTCCAAGATACAAACCGCCTATTTCTTTCATATAAGTGTACCATTGTCTCACTACCAAAAAAAAACTGTCCATGGAGCATTATGTTCCCTTATACTCTTCTCTTCACTTTTCAGTGTGGTTTGTTTTGAAAACTTCTCTGATTTTATGCTGTAATAAGAGCTAGTTTTGGTCTTGCACAGAAATATTTCCTTATGAATGATAATCTGAGACTCATTTTTTTTTTCAAAATATTTCACTCTTTGCCTTGGTGTTTCCTAGATGTATTTCATCCAGGTAGCAAGAAAAAGATGGATATGTTTACTAAATACTTTCATGATGGAGATAGTCTGGGCCAATGTACATTATTTCACTGCTTTGTTGCATTTCTGTTAGCTAATTTCCATATTGAATTTAAACATTCAAGAAATAGTTTTATACTTGTCAGTTCTACAAAACTTTACTTTAGGAGTTATGTTGCTTCTGTTATGCAGACTATCAGATTTTTTTTAACATGCCATCTTAAAATCCTTTTTCTGAATGTAGGCATAAATGTTTAAAAGAAATAAAGCATAAATAACATCAAAGCAAAAATATATGCATTTTTCATTACAGTAATTTGAATGTATTCCCCCTTTGCTCCAGAAAATATTTGTCACTTGCTGTTGTTCTGTTGTTTTTATTAAATATTCTGCAATATTTAAAGTGCTTCATGATTTGGGACCTTAAATATTAAAGAGCGCCTCCCAATGTATGAATAATTTTTATTAAGCCATCATCCAATTCCATAAGGATATATGCAAATTGTAGAAGTGTGTTTTTTTGTACACCAGGTTGTTCCTATTACAACAAGGAATGGGGTAGCCAGTGCAATAGGTTAATGTCAAAGGATGTTTCTTTCCTCTGCTGTGCTATTTAAACATAGACACACACACACACACACACACACACACACACACACACACACACACAAACATAAACAGGGAGAAGAAAGAAACAGAGATAGGAACATTTTTTAACCCCCAGTCTATTAATATTGGTGGATATAAAAATGTTGTTCAGTGATAAAAATAATCAGAATTTATTACATATTTTTTTAAAAAAATTCTTTATATAAGAAAACTTTTTGTGGACACTTGCGTATTATTGATTATATTGGGTAAGGAAAAGGAGGGTAGGATTTTTAGTTTAGGTCAACATATTCTCTTGGCTGAGACTACCATCATCAAAGAATGGTGAAAAAAATCTTTGAATCATCCCCTTCATCATCATTATCTTAATCTTCATTGATCATCAACATCGTCATCATGCTAAAGGTAATCTGAAAAAAAATAATAAAAGTATTGCTTATGACTTTGCAAGTGAAAATCTAAAATTATTACATTGTATTTTTTTAATTAATCAAAAGTACTTTGGGCAGTACTTTTCATTAGTGTTCTGTGCTGCATTGTTTTAATTGCTTTAAATTAAAATGGCTTTAATGATTAATGATTAATCATTATTGATTAGTTGTATTAGGTTGCCTGTACAGTTCTGAGAGTCACTTTGAAATGATTTAAACAAAGGGGAAAAAATATCAGCCTGAGGTTTTATTTTTTAAAATCATTTTATATGATATTTGACACGTCTTTAGGATAATCAGCTTATTGTTTTTGCATTATAAATGAGAGCGTCTATATCTTTACAATAATAATTTGTGCAGATCTCCTTGAGCTATAGTGAATAGTTACTGAAGCCCTAATGTTAAAGGTAGATCTATTTTTTTTCAACTGCATTTTAACATAGGAAATGAAAGTGCACAAAATTATTTGTACACCATGATGAAAGAAATGAGCTTTTCCTAGCGTAAAGTCAGTTTCTAGGAAGAGATATGGTAGAAACGTTCAGTACAAAACGGATTAACTGAGTGAAATAATCTTTAATCTCTATCCACTTTTTCTTCCCCTAGGGAATAATTGAAAACTCTTGCCAACTCAATCTGGCATACTAAATATGATAATATGGCCCAGATTCTGGGTGTGTTGAGTTTATAATTGTTGCTAAGACCCAATGAAGCTTATTGTTTATAATGGACTACTCAAAGCTACCTGACTACATCTCATCATCCATGGTAGATTAAGTGTACTCATCCTTTTTTTATCTCTCCCTCCTACGTACCTCCAGCTAGTTAAGTAAGAAGGGAAAACTGTACTGCTCAGATTAAAAATAGGAGAGAAAGCTATTAAAATTGTAAATTTAAAATACAGTGAAAGCTTCCCTTCCCCTAGTGCCATATTTAAATCAGGTCAAACAAGTAAATATTTTGTTGCATAAACATATATCCAAAGTGATTCAATTAGCATGTCGGTATATCAGACAAAGCTATGCTATAAATAATATAATAGATTGGTTATTTGTGTCCTTTCTTTCACTATAGCAACTGGTGTTTGAGATTCAAGTTCTTTAAAAACTTAAGAGGATTCTCTCCTTCATGTGTTTCTAACACCAATTAAAAGAATTTAGAATTACAAAAGCCAATACGAATGATTTTTAGATATTTAAATGGTATAGTAAAGATTCTTTTCTAAGAAATGCTGGTATAATTTTGGTTTTTAAAATATGCTTCTTGAAGTTGAAGAAGTGAAAAGAGAGACATAGCAAAGTAAGAGTATTAATATTTTAGATAATATTTTGCCAGTCAAGTTTCTGAACCATTTGGATTAGGTATCCCTTAGGTATTGGTGGAGTCACACAGAAATGGGAATTTAACAATGTGGCTACATTGTGTATAACATCTATGTTCTTCCTACCCTTTTGACTTGTTTATTATAATTAAATTTAGAATATTTTTGTATTTTTATGGTGTTATTGTATGCCAGCCAGATTCATGTTGGATGAGTGGCATATAAATATCATAAAGAGATAAACATGGTACTGAGGAACAGCTAAGATCTTTAGAACACTAATAGTGTTTATCATCTAGCTAAATTAAATCTTTTGGTATGTCTAGTTGCTTGTATTGCCATATCAGAAAAGAAAATTGAAGCTGGAAATGTAGAATTACAGTAGAACAGTGGTGGGATTCAATTTTTTTAACAATCGGTTATGTGGGCGTGGCTAAGTTGGGGGTGTGGTTTGGTGGTCATGTGACCGGGTGGGCGTGGCTAGCTGGTCATGTGACCGATGGGCATGGCTATCTGCATAGGGACTACAGAGGGCTGAAAAAAGTCATTTCTGACTGGTCCTCGCACTTTTGACCGGTCCTCGCACTTATGACCATCCTCACATTTATGCCCGTTGAGGCATTCTTAACAACCGTGTCACTCATTTCACAACTGCTTCTCTTCATCATGGTGACAAGATAGGGCAAAAACGTAAAATGTGAGGACAGTCGTAAGTTCGAGGACTAGTCAAAAGTGTGAGGACCAGTCAAAAATAACTTTTTCAGCCCTCTGATAGTCCATATGCACAAAAGGACTACCCAGAGGGCTGAAAAAAGTGATTTCTGACAGGTCTTCGCACTTTTGACCGGTCTTCGCATTTATGACTGGTCATCATTTATGCCCATTGTAGCATTCTTAACAACCGTGTCACTCATTTCACAACTGCTTCTCTTCACCATGGTGACAAGATAGGGCAAAAACGTAAAATGTGAGGACAGTCGTAAGTTTGAGGACTGGTCAAAAGTGTGAGGACCAGTCAAAAATAACTTTTTCAGCCCTCTGAGTAGTCCATATGCACAAAAGGACTACCCAAAGGGCTGAAAAAAAGTGATTTCTGACAGGTCCTCGCACTTTTGACCGGTCTTCGCACTTATGACTCGTCATCATTTATGCCCATTGTAGCATTCTTAACAACCGTGTCACTCATTTCACAACTGCTTCTCTTCACCATGGTGACAACATAGGGCAAAAACGTAAAATGTGAGGATAGTCGTAAGTTTGAGGACTGGTCAAAAGTGCGAGGACCAGTCAGAAATAATTTTTTCAGCCCTCTGAGTAGTCCATATGCATAAAAGGATACAGCAATAGAGAGGGATGAAGGAAGGGAAGGGAAATTAGAGTAGGAGTGAGGGTAAGAGAGGGAGGAAGAGAGGAGGAGAAGGAGAAAGGAAGAGGAAGTAGGGAGGAAAAGAAGAAGGGGAGGAAGAGAAAGTAAGAAGGAAAGAAAAGAGAGAGGTGGTAGGTTTGAGGAGAAAGATTGCTGTACAATAAAAAAGATGAAAGGGAAGAAAGCCAACCCCAAACAAATATAAAGATATTAAGATAAAGAATGAATTGTTAAACTTTAAAGAATAAAAGAGAACAAATATGAATAAATAACAATAATTAGAAACACACATACAAACATACAATGTATTTTCTTTGAACAGAGTATTTGGCCGGTTCACAAATTTAAACGGTGTTTAGTCATTTCAATTAAATTTACAATTTCTATATTTCCTTTTTGCCATATTTATTCCTCATCTATTTTTGTAAAAAACCAGTATTACCCTTCATCTTCCTCTCTAATCTTAATCAAATTCAATTTTTCCCTTCTATTCTATATTATACCCCTTCCCATTGTCATCTATTTTTATATCCATCCTCACATTGGTTAATTATGTAATATTACAGTTGTTTAATATAAATTCAACATTTTAATATAAATCAATTAGTTATATAACTACCTTTTTGTATATTAATCAATATGAACATGAATATTCCAATTATTTCCATGCAATCCAATTTCTTACAAATCAATTAATTATATTTACCAATAATAATAAACCAAATAATTTCCCCCATATATTCCTCCAAACCACAACTTAACCATTTCTGCTTTCAACACAATATACAATTAATAGTATCTCAATTATTACAATTCCCTAGTTAAATAGAGCTTTTTTTCTTTTGTGTTTTAAAATCTTGAACTCTCCTCTTTTCCCCTAAATTTCCCATTGTTTGCATCTACCTTTTTTGGTGAGGAAAAAGAAAAGAAATCTGCTTGCCTAATTTTCCACCGCTGCAACAACAGCAAAGCCAACAGCCTGCTTTACTTTCTGTTTCATTTTTCAGCATAGCTGGGGTAAAAAAATCAGCACTCTTTGCAAGCAAGCAGCAGAGCCCTGAGCAAAACAGCTGAGAGCAAATCAGCTGAGAGTTGGGAGCCGATCTAAGCAAGGGATAATTAGCCTATGCTGAAGCTCCGCAGGCCAATAAAATTACAAAAAAACACCGAACCGTTTGTTAAATTGCTGGCTCACCCGCCCCTCGCCCACCACTATTTATTGGCAATAAATAGTGGGGCAGAGGGGCGGGGCAAGGGGCGGGGCGAGCCAGCAATTTAACAAAGGGTTCGGCCGAACCCCCTAGAACCGGCAGAATCCCACCACTGCAGTAGAACCATGGAATGTAACAAGGAAACACTAAGGAGGAAGTAGATGTTATAACCTAGGAAACCAAAGTGAAGCAGGAACATCAGTTTGGTCCAATCTTTTGGACTTTCTCATTTCTAACATAGTCTTAAAAAACTAAAATTATGCTTAAAGACATGGGCATCATCATATGGAATATACAGAAATCATGTTGGGCATATTATGTTTTCAGGACAGCAAAAGTGTGAGATAAGGTTGTATGTTTTCTCCATATTGAGTCAACCGATATGCTAAAATATATATTAGGAAAATCTGGATCCACCCTGAGTCTTCGGAGAGGGGCGGCATACAAATTGAATAAATTAATAAATTAATAAGATTAGTGTGGTTTCAAATTTGGATAAAGAAACATCAGCAAACTGTTATGCTGATGACACTATCCTGATAGACAAAATGCAAAAGAACTATAAGGTCCAGTAATACAAGTAAAGGAGTACAGCGAAAAATGAGACTAAAGTTAAATAGATGGGTGGATATATAAATTTGATTAATAAATAACTTTTTTATATTGTACATTTTTTTGTTTTATTTACTGTTCTTATTGATTCTTGTTTGCCACTCAGAACTGCCTTTGGTGAGATTGGTGGCTATCTAAATTTGATTAATCAATAAATATAAAGAAGACCAAACTAATGGCAACAGTTCTTGACACTTTTAAACTTATGTTTCAGAAGACTCATGAGAATACAATGATAGCTGAGAAAACAACCAGATGGATCATTGAACAAATCAATCCAGAGTTCTTATTTGAGGTCTAAATGAGCAGATCACAATGATCAAATTTTGGATATTATTTATTTATTTATTTATTATTGCGATTTATATGCCACCTTTCTCCCTGGGGACTCAAGATGGCTTACAAAATGACAATTTCCAATACAAATTACAGTGAAATAAAAATTAAAATCAGCAACCCTATTAAAACA